TCGAATCGTATCGAATCGTATCATTGGCTGAATAGTGGCTTCTCAATTTTGGTATCTAGTAGATTGGGTACAGAATAACCCGGACTCTGTCTGGCTCGATATTGAAGCATACAATTTAGGTAAACCGTTACAAGTTAGCTAGTCTCCCATTTATCCTAAATCGGAATAAATTAGAGGTTGCAGATGCTAATTTCATTGTTAAATCCAAACTAAAGGTTCGGGACAAAATTAAGAAATGGGGAAAAAAGAACTGATGTTTTATCTCCAATTACTCCAATATAAAGAAATCTCCCAGGTATGACAGATAATGGGTTTGCTCTGTGGGAAAGTTCTGGTATCACAGCTTTGAAAGACTTATTTAAAGGGGACAGAATGATTTCATTTGACCAATTAAGATTGAAATACAAGTTATCACACACATCTTTTTAGGTTCCTACAAGTCAGAAGCTTTATACAGAATCCAATTCGGCATAAATTTACTCTGGAAATGTCACCAACTGAACAACTACTATACAAAATACATAGCAATAAGGCTGTAGTACTAAGACTAACAATACAATTATGCAAACATGGGCTCAGGACCTTGGGCTGGTAATAGAAGAAGCTAAGGAGGCAGACATATGGGAGCATGCTAACAACATATCCATATGTAATAGAGCAAAGGAATCACAATTTAAGTTACTGCATCGCCTTCAGATATCACCTGAACTCAGACATAAGATGGATCCAAAGAAATCAGCGGAAGGGGGGTATAAATGTAAAAAATGTTGTATATGTGAATAAGATGTGACACATAATTAATAATAAAGTTATGCTACATCTTTTTTTATCCCAGGCCAACTGTTTAAAAATGAACCAGCTCCCCATGAGAGAGGAAAAAAAAAACTTTCAAACATATAGTACTCTACGTAGGTAATAATCACAATAATCTTTAAACATTCATGTGGTCACAAAATGGCAGGGTCAGCCAGTTGGTCCAGAGTGAAATATCTCAACAAATATTGGATGGATTACCATGACAGATTTTCATAGTTCGTGTACAATGTATTATTATGACTTGTGTGATCCCCTGACTTCTCCAGCAGTACCACCAGCAGGTGAGTGATAAAAGATTTATGAAAATTGTATCAGACATTCCTCTCAGGATGAATTGTAATAAACTTAGAGGTCCTCAGACTTTCCTTGTAGTGCCATCGTTGGGTCGGAGTAAAAAATGTTGTCCACTACTTAAACAATTATGTACAATTTTATTTTGCAAGCTAAATTCTCATATCTACATACGTACAGCATAAATTTGTTTTTGCTGTGTCTGATAAATACATGCACAGTGATGATCATGAACACTAACTTTCTGGAAAAAATTATTTTCTGTAAAATAAAATAAATTTGGGTTTGCTCCGTCGGTGGAGCTGGCGACCCATACGGAGTTGCTGGAGTGGCCTGGGTTCGGATTCGACTTGCGGCCCTTTGCTGCGTGTCATCCCCTCTCTCTCTGCCCCCCTTTCCTGTCTATCTTCAGCTGTCACTATCTAATAAAGGCAATAAAAGGCCAAAAAAAATAACTTTAAAAAAATAAATAAATAAAATAAATTTTACTTGATTGAGCTGTTACTTATTGGCTGTGACCAAATTAATGTAATAAATTTGCCTAAATCCGTAGTTTATATGTAAGCAAGTGCTGTCATGTATTGTCAGGAAGAGACAGCTCAGTGCATCATGAGAAATTCCCCTAGACCTTTAGCAGCATAACCAAGGAATGGTTCAGGACTCACCTGAGCCAGCCCTAACTATAAGCTTTATCAAAGAGGAACGTCTTAAGCCTACTCTTAAATGTGGAGAAGGTGTCTGCCTCCCGAACAAAAACTGGTAACATTGCAAAGCTGCTAGCATGGTTGTAGCTTCTTATTCTTGTTTTTTCCTCCTCTGTAGAAACAGCTGGCCAGCCTGCTGATGGACCTCGGCTGCATCAGTTCAGGTCTGCTTATTTATGAAAAGCTGGAGCTCTGGGAGGATGCAGTTATCTGCTATGAGAGGCTAGGCCAACATGGCAAGGTACACACACACACACACACACACAAACAAACAGAACCAAGCAATGAGCGCAGCAATGTTGGAAGGTGGAAGAAGACTTTAAACTAGTGATTGAGACCATAAACTCATCAGGAAACTAGAGAACTAGAGTCATTACCCTATAAGACTCAATCCTGTCAGAGTTTTGTTTCAGCCCAGGGAGTTTCCCCCCTGCTGACCATTATATAGAATGCATATGAAAATATAAATACATATCATATCTATATCTTAATCACTTCAATAAGGACATCTGGAACATTAAGACCTGAGCAACAGTTTGTCCAGTCAGTCAGTCAGTGAAACTATAATGTATATAGTTGTAACAAAATATTAGCTCAGCAGCTAGAGCTGTCAACAGGATCAGTTTAGACGGTATCTGGTATCTTCAGCCTTAAAGGACAAGTGTGTAGGATTTAGTGACATCTACTGGTGTAGCTACAGATTGCAACCAATTGAATACCGCCTACCTTGGTATTATGACGACCTGGGAATAAGAACGGGCTGTGAAGTGTGTGGGAGAAA